TTCAGGGGGCTGCAAAAAAACAATATGAAGTTCAACGATGAAAAAATTTCAATTACTCAGATATGGTAAACATGAGGAAATTAAATCTTCATCAGAGTACAAAAAAAATTTCTGGCCACAAAATAGAGCAAAAAACACCAACGTAAAAGACCTGGAGTGATCAGGGTCGGGGGACTCACCTCAAGGACCATAACACTGTATCAATCGCATCTGCTAGAAAAATGACAGGATGGATAATGAGAACCTTCAAAACTAGGGAGGCCAAGCCCATGATGACACTCTTCAGGTCACTTGTTTATCTAGGCTGGAATATTGCTGCACACAAAACAGCACCTTTCAAGGCAGGTGAAATTGCCGACTAGAAAATGTACAGAAAAACTTTCACGGCGCGCATAACGGAGATAAAACACCTCAATTATTGGGAGCGCTTAAAGGTTTTCCTAAACCTGTATTCCCGGGAAACGCAGGAGGGAGAGATACATGTTTTTTAAATCACCTGGAAAATCCTAGAGGGACTAGTACCGAACTTGCACACGAAAATCACCCACTACGAAAGCAAAAGACTTGGCAGACGATGCACCACCCCCCCAATAAAAAGCAGGGGTGTCACTAGCACGTTAAGAGACCATACAATAAGTGTCAGGGGCCCGAGACTGTTCAACTGCCTCCCAGCACACATAAGGGGGATTACCAACAGACCCCTGGCAGTCTTCAAGCTGGCACTGGACAAGCACCTAAAGTCAGTTCCGGATCAGCCGGGCTGTAGCTCGTATGTTGGTTTGCGTGCAGCCAGCAGCAACAGCCTGGTTGATCAAGCTCTGATCCACCAGGAGGCCTGGTCTCAGACCGGGCCGCGGGGGCGTTGATCCCCGGAACTCTCTCCAGGTAAACTCCAGGTAATAGAATGGTCACTGATATTAGTAGACATTATTTGTTCGCCGCCCCTGTTTGCTCCGTCCCCTCTCTCTTCGCCTTCATTCGCTCTTGTCTTCTCTTCAATTACCACTTTTCTATGTTCATGTAGCATCTCGCTTTTCCCTACCCCCCTGGGAAGTTCCAGCTGTTCGAGTCTCTTCTTTCTCTCTCCCTTGCTCGAGAGCCCAACTGTCTATGGTCTCTTCCCGCTCTCTTTTTCTTGACCACTTCCACTCTCATTCTCATGCCATTGCTGTGTACACAGATGGTTCTAAGTCTTCTGACGGCGTAGGATTCGCAGCATTGTTTCCGGACAGCATCATACGAGGGCATTTACTATCTTCGGCTAGTATTTTTACTGCTGAATTGTATGTCATCCTTGCAGCACTTATCCGTATTGCATCTATGCCTGTGTCATCATTTGTGGTTGTCTCAGACTCCCTTAGCGCTTTACAGGCTATACAGAAATTTGATACACCTCACCCCTTATTCCTCCTTATCCAACTTTGGCTATGCCGCATCTTTACCAAGCATAAAGATATTGTTTTTTGTTGGGTCCCTGGTCATGTTGACGTACAGGGCAATGAACAGGCAGACACTGCTATGCAGTCAGCAGTACATGAACTACCAGTTTCATATAGAGGTATTCCATTTACGGACTATTTTGCTGCAATATCTTCCCACCTTCACACCATTTGGCAACAACGTTGGTCTACTATGCTCGGTAACAAACTTCAATCCATTAAACCGAGTATAGATTACTGGCCGTCTTGTTATCACCAGTGTCGAGGTTGGGAGACTACTCTCTCCCATCTTTGCATTGGCCATACTCGTCTTACTCATGGATATCTCATGGAGAGGCGCCCTCCTCCTCTCTGTGAGAATTGCCAAGTTCCATTATCAGTCAGCCACATTCTGTTGAACTGCCCACTTTATCAACGAGCACGCAGAATTTACCTCCGTCGTCGTCCTCGCTCCGCTGCTCTCTCTTTACCTTCCCTTCTCGCTGATGGACCCACCTTTCATCCGGACTCTCTCAATGACTTTTTGACAACAACTGGCTTACTTCACAAATTCTGATACCTTCAGCCCTTTCTACCTCAACCTCTTGCTACCCTCTACCCCCGTACTATCCCCTGCCCCGCTGTTTTCTGTAACCTACTGATCATCCCTCCTCCCTTCTGCCGCCCAATACCCTCGCTTCCTTCCCTACCCTGCAGCGCTGTATAGCCTTTGTGGCTTAGCACTTCTTTTTGATTATAATAATAATACTCCCTATGAAAGCAAAAGACTGCAGGATATGCAACATTACCCCAATGAAAAGCAGGGGTGCCACGAGTGCAGTGAGAGACAACAAAATAAGTGTCTGGGGCCCAAGACTGTTCAATTGCCTCCCAGCACACATAAGGGAGATTACCAATAGACCCCTGGCTGTCTTCAAGAAGGCACTAGACAGGCACCTAAAGTCAGTACCTGACCAACTGGGCTGTGATTTGTACGTCAGCTTGCGTGCGGCCAGCAGTAACAGCCTGGTTGATCAGACCCTGATCCACCATGAGGCCTGGTCTCAGACCGGGCCGCAGGGGCGTTGACCCCGAAACCCTCTTCAGGTAAACTCCAGGTAGTATTATTGTTACTAATGTTTTCTTTTTTCCGGACTCTGGGAGGTAGAGCTTAATAAGGCGTCAGCCTAAGAGGCCATGAATAACCCCAACAACGACGTAAGATGTGGTTCTTACAGTCTTAGAAGCGTCCCACTCTCAACGCCCCCGCGGCTCGGTCTGAGACCAGGACTCGTGGTGGATCAAGGTCTGATCACCCAGGCTCTTACTGCTGGCCGAATGCAAACTGACGTACGAACCACAGCCCGGCTGGTCAGGTACTGACTTTAGGTGCCTGTCCAATGCATTCTTGAAGACAGCCAGGGGTCTATTGGTAATCCCCCTTATGTATGCTGGGAGGCAGTTGAACAGTCTTGGGCCCCTGACACTTATTGTGTTGTCTCTCAGTGTACTCGTGGCACCCCTGTTTTTTATTGGGGGAATGTTACATCTCCTGCCGAGTCTTTTGCTTTCATAGGGAGTGATTTTCCTGTTCAAATTTGGTACTAATCCCTCTAGGATTTTCCAGGTGTATATTATCATGTATCTCTCGCCTGCATTCCAGAGAATACAAATCAAGGGACTTAACCGTTCCCAGTAATTTAGGTACCTTATCGTACTTATATATATATGCTTAACAGTTCGCAAACAGGCGAAATTATTTACAAACATTATCTCTACGCCCATAGCAGGACTCGAACCTGCAAACTCTATCAGAGTACACAGTACTTTACCACTTATCTGGGGTCCGGCTTCGTGGTAAAGTACTGTGTACTCCAATGGAAATAAGTCACTCTGACTTTTTTGGATTATCCTAGGTTCTCTACACACATGCTGCTATGTTTGGTAATCTATGTAGCTGTATTTGTACTCACCTAGTTGTGGTTGCAGGGGTCGATTCATAGCTTCTGGCCCCGCCTCTTCACTGGTCGCTACTGGGTCACTTTCCCTGGACCATGAGCTTGATCATACCTCTGCTTAAAGCTATGTATGGATCCTGCCTCCGCTACATCGCTGAATAAACTTGCGTACTTATTTGTGGGCGTAGATATAATTTAACACACACACACACACACACACACACACACACACAAACACACACACACACACAAACACACACACACAGTGAAGAGGCGGGGCCAGGAGCTGAGTATCGACCCCTGCAACCACAATTAGGTGAGTACACACACACACACACACACACACACACACACACACACAAAGACAGGATGTTCCAGAGATTGGACACAGTAACAAGGGGACACAGTTGGAAGTTGAAGACACAGATGAATCACAGGGATGTTAGGAAGTATTTTTTCAGCCACAGAGTAGTCAGTAAGTGGAATAGTTTGGGAAGCGATGTAGTGGAGGCAGGATCCATACATAGCTTTAAGCAGAGGTATGATAAAACTCACGGTTCAGGGAGAGTGACCTAGTAACGACCAGTGAAAAGGCGGGGCCAGGAGCTCGGACTCGACCCCTGCAACCTCAACTAGGTGAGTACACACACACACACACACACACACACACACACACACACACACACACACACACACACACACACTAAGCAGAGGTATGATAAAACTCACGGTTCAGGGAGAGTGACCTAGTAACGACCAGTGAAAAGGCGGGGCCAGGAGCTAGGACTCGACCCCTGCAACCACCCAAAAAGGTGAGTACACACACACACACACACATATATATATATATATATATTATATATATATATATATATATATATATTTATATTATAATATATATATATTTCTACAAGTACATGTACAAGGCATACAGGCCTAATAACACAGTAACACAGTACTATATAGAAAACCGCTTGTTATGCGGAGCATTTTGGACAAATTAAGTCAATTTTGTCCCAGGATGCGACCCACACCAGTCCACTAGCACCCAGGTACCCATTTTACTGATGGGGACCCCTCAAGGGAGGTTCCTTGATGCTGGTGAGGGGGCTCTTGGTCTAGGGAACTGGATCTGTGCTCCAGTTCGCTGAATTGAGCCTGAATACCTTCCATCCCCCCACATGCTCTGTATAATCCTTCGGCTTTAGCGCTCCGCCGTGATTATAATACTGATGGGGAACAGACAATTGGTGTAAGGAAATACATCCGATATTTCTACCCCTTCGCCGGGAATCGAACCCGGACCTCACTGTTGGAAACGAGAGGTTTTGCCAATCTATCATAACTTTGGGGTCCAGTCCCTGGACCCATTATTTACCTCTATAATCTTTTGACTACTACCCACAGGATGGGTATGTGGTGCATAATAAACATATTAAACTAAAAAAACCACGGGGCACCGTATGATCAGTAAGACAGGACTCGATACGGCGGAAGCTTCTCAACGGCCCGTACAAACCCAAGAAGAAGAAGAAGAGGAAGACGAGAAAGGAGTTTAATAATAGTTGCAGCCAAAATTGGCACCTGGCAGAGGATCAAGAGGTGCAAGGTGTTGTGTGTTGGCATGGCAGCATCACTGGTGAGTCAGTCAGTGAGGCAAGATGAGAAACTACACTACCTACCATTACTTGGCCAGGCAGGTTTGTCTTGCTAGGCAATAATTGTAATTAGATTTTTCTTGTTTTTTTTTTTTTAACCCTGGGAAGAGTTTTCCACCCAGGATAACCCAGTTAAGTCAGTGCTTCATCGAGGACTGTCTAAGTCTTATTTCCGCTTTGGTCCTTTAATCTTCTCCCCCAGGATGCCACCCACCTCAGGTGCCTGCTTACTGCAAGGTGTATGTAAGTTTATTTAGGCACAAGTACACATATATATATTTATCATACGTAGTGTAAATTACCTAGGATAACAAAAAAAGTCATTGAGCAAGAACATGTGTAAGTTAACTAATACCCAGGTACCTATTTACTACTAGGTGAACAGGGACAGCAGGTGTTAGGTAACACCCAGGCACCTACTTACTGCTAAGTGAACAGTGGCAGCAGGTGTAAAGTAACTAACACCCAGGTACCTACTTACTAGTAGGTGAGCAGGGACAGCAGGTGTAAGGTAACATACTTTAAATGCACCACCTGCTTGTGGCTTTCGTTCATACCTAACGATATTGTATTATGTGTAAACTACAATACCTGTATAGTGCAGAATTTTTTTTATAGATGACTTATTCACGAATGATCCCTGCCATTTACACAAAACTCTTTTGTGTAAGATGACAACTTTTTATGTATGATGATTGCTATTTTGTTATACAATGAAGCCATTAAATTGATAGGAGTTATGTTCCTTTGAATTTAGTTTCAGTGAATACTACTAATTAAATTGTCTATATAACTGAATTTATTTAAATTGAAGAAAAATTGAGGTACAGTATAATACTTGCCATTTATTTTAGAGTTATATCGTGTTGAAAGGCTCTTGATCCAGGTACTATGTGACCCCTACAAGTGCAGTGCTTTTCCTTGTGTGGGAATAACAACACACATCATGTGCCAGGCCTTGGCTTGATATAAAAATATCTACCTATACAATACTTTTTTTTTGTTTTATTTAAGTTACATTTGCTTATTTTATTTTACAGTATTAGATCAACAGAAGTGGCCAAAAAGGGAATGTTCTTCTTACTGCAACACCTTTTGTACATGTTGTGAATGGTCACTCAAAGGGATTTATTGTGAATTTCTGTTTAAAAAAAGTAAGTTTATGAGAGAGTATCATGTATATAAATGACAGAAAAGTTTACAGGTTTCATTGAAGGGAAAAGATGCATATTGTATTTCTGTACAAGCTTTTATTGGGACTAATCACTTTCCCTGAATCCCTTCATAAATGTTACGTTGCTTTAAAACTCCAACACCATGTCAAATCATAAAAACCACTTGCCTCCACTCATGCTTATAAACCCTGCTCATGCAAGCCTGTTAGATGACCCCTACCTCTTTTTTTTTCCACCCCAGATTTGGGATGTTATAATAAGTTTAAATACGTGTAACAGGAATACCTATTTGTATAATCTAAATTCACTTTTGGTTTTGTTGGGAAAAAAAGTTTGAAATGAAGTTTGTGTTCTAGTACACAGTACTTAGACAATGTTCATATTTCAAAATTTAGCTTCATGTATTAATTTCTGCAGTGTACCCTGTCTTAAATAAACACAGTCAGGCTTGGTTTTTTATTATTGTAAATTTTATTTAACTACTGTGCCTTCTCCAGGCATACTGTTATATGCTGACTTATATATAATCTTTGAATTTGGTTTTATTATTTTATGCTTTACACTAACTCTTTATCTAGATACTCTTTCATTTGTTTAATAATGTCATTCCATTTTTGTATTGCACTTTGAACAGGAAGATGGAAGTCTTCAGCGCTGCTCTGGATGCAAGGCGAATGTTATTGCAACAAAGACTGCCAAAGGAACTCCTGGAATATTCACCGATTTGAGTGTAAAAATCTTCAGCGCATATACCCCCTGATTCCCCCAGATACTGCAAAGCTTATTGCAAGGGTTATATTTAGGCTAAAGGTAGTATAACAAATTTAATTTTTATAAGTACAGTCATATAGTAGATTACTTGTTCCCTCAGGAAGGTTCTTTATGCTAGTGAGGGAGCTCTTGATCCACTGAATTTGACCTGACCTTACCTTCCTTAGATTGAGCCTAATTGCCTCCCTTACCCGTGGCACTGCGTGACCCCTATGGGTTTAGCGCTCCACTGTGAATGCAATAAAAATAATAGATTGCTTGTAATGACAAGGAATTTAAAGGTTTGCAAGTAAAGATTTGAAAAATTCATCCAAAAATGTGGCTCTTTATCTAATGCAGCAAGTAATACAGTATTATCATAGCTTTTAATTAATTTTCATTTTTGAGGTGTATATGCTAATGTTCCTAAAATGGAACCCTGTGTGCCATTCTTGATAAAATTTGGCAACATCAGCATTATTTTTCAGTTTTAAGAAGTGTAAACAAGTACAGTGAGAGCTTCATATTTTGGGGCTACATTCCTGGAGATCCCACAAGTATGGAAGAAGCTACAAAAGTACTCCTGTACACCCAAAACAAGGGTATTTTGTTTTAAATTACCATATTTTACAGCGAACAAGACTCTCTGGTGTCGAGTACATTCTTCCCCTCCTCTCCAATTCTGACTGACTAAATTTAAAAAAAAAAAAAAAAAAAGATAAATGGTACTTCAGCCTCCAAGGCACTGGGTAAATTTATGAGACTTATTTCAGAAAAAAACTAGCATCTTTGATGCTGTAAAATATGGTATACCTAAGCTATAAGTTGGACAACATCATATTTTATGCTTTATTAATAAAATTACTAATACTTTTGTAGATACACTACTGTATTTAGATGTCTAGCTTCTGTTCTGTTTATATTTTTTATAACTCTGATAAAGTTATATGTTGATTATTCATTATGAAATGCATTTTGTAGACACCACATAAGTTGCTTGACTATTAAGTTCCTTTTAGTGCAAATTTAAATTTGGTTTACCTGTATTTACATTGTTCATTTGTTACTTATAATGTAGAGTCAAGTAGCAGTATTGTAGTAATAGCTTATGTATACTTTATCTTAATACAGGTTGGGGGTGACAGGGTAGAAGAAAAAATAACTGAAAAGCAGTCGAGAAAATTCAAGGACTTAATGAACCGTAAGTGTTGATTTCTTTAGTTTATGATTATTGTATCTGTAGTACTGTGATGATTATAATGATAGTTAATCTATTTTTGAAGAGACATTTAAAATATATTATAGGTAGTAGGTTGGTAAACAGCAACCACCCAGGGAGGTACTACCGTCCTGCCAAGTGAGTGTACAACGAAAGCCTGTAATTGTTTTACATGATGGTAGGATTGCTGGTGTCTTTTGTCTGTCTCATAAACATGCAAGATTTCAGGTATGTCTTGCTACTTCTACTTGCATTTAGGTCACATTACACATACATGTACAAGCATATATATACACACACACACCCCTCTGGGTTTTCTTCTATTTTCTTTCTAGTTCTTGTTCTTGTTTATTTCCTCTTACCTCCATGGGGAAGTGGAACAGAATTCTTCCTCCGTAAGCCATGCGTGTTGTAAGAGGCGACTAAAATGCCGGGAGCAAGGGGCTAGTAACCCCTTCTCCTGTATATATTACTAAATTTAAAAAGAGAAACTTTAGTTTTTTCTTTTGGGCCACCCTGCCTCGGTGGGATACGGCTGGTATGTTGAAAGAAGAAGATTTAAAATATATATATAATATATTTATGTGATACCCTGTACAGTACATCGCGATTATGTTGAATTTTTTATTAGATGGAATTTGAATGTCCTAGGTAGTAGGTTGGTAGACAGCAGCCGCCCATGGAGGTAATACCGTCCTGCCAAGTGAGTGTAAAATGGAAGCCTTTAATTGTTTTACATGATGGTAGGATTGCTGGTGTCTTATCTATGTCTCATAAACATGCAAGATTTCAGGTACGTCTTGCTGCTTCTGCTTATACTTAGGTCACACTACACATACATGTACAAGCATATATATACACACACCCCTCTAGGTTTTCTTCTATTTTCTTACTAGTTCTTGTTCTTGTTTATTTCCTCTTATCTCCATGGGCAAGTGGAACAGAATTCTTCCTCCGTAAGCCATGTGTGTTGTAAGAGGCGACTAACATGCCAGGAGCAAGGGGCTGTTAACCCCTTCTTCTGTATAAATTACTAAATTTTAAAAGAAACTTTTGTTTTTCTTTTTGGGCCACCCTGCCTCAGTGGGATACGGCCAGTTTGTTGAAAGAAGAAATAAGAAGGAATTTGAATGTGATAAACTTGTCAGTAGTACTGTGTATGTACTTGTGTAGTATACTTAGTTAAAACCGTTACTTTATAGAGACGCTCCCTGATGTCACGAGTCCTGCTCATTTGAACCACCTGCCTCAGGGCCCCGGTAGTTCCTAGTAAGTAGGCATGGACTCGACAGGCAGGCTCTGGGCTCCTCTCTTCTCACATTAATTATATGCCTCCAAGACATCCACTGTGTGTATTTCTTACTCCAAAATCACCTCCGAACCCCCCACAAGAAATAGTAGTCCTGTGTACGTACTTGTGTAGTATACTTAGCTAAAACCGTTACTTTATAGAGGCGCTCCCTGGCTAGCTATGATGTCACAAGTCCCGCTCATTTGAACCACATATAAATCTGTAGGAAAAGGAAGGCAGGGTAGGGGTCAGCCCCGAAAAGGTTGGAGGGAGGGGGTAAAGGGGGTTTTGTGGGTGAGGGGCTTGGACTTCCAACAAGCGTGCATGAGAATGTTAGATAGGAGTGAATGGAGACGAGTGGTTTTTGGGACCTGACGAACTTTTGAAGTGCGATCAGGGTATTATTTTGTGAAGGGATTCAGGGAAACCAGTTATTTGGACTTAAGTCCTGGAAATGGGAAGTATACAATGCCTGCACTTTAAAGGAGAGGTTTGGGATATTTGCAGTTTGGAGGGATGTCTAAGCTGTCATATCTGAGCGCCTCTGCAAAGACAGTGATTATGTATGAGTGATGGTGAAAGTGTTGAATGATAAAAGTTTTTTCTTTCTTTTTGGGTCACCCTGCCTCGGTGGGAAATGGCCGACGTGTTAAAAAAAAAAAACACAAAGTTCAGCATTATAAAACACTCAAATGTAAATTATTGTATTTACAAGGAAGCAATGTATCCATAAAGCTGATACAGTACCAGGGAAATGTAAAGTAATCAAATCTGATCTAAGGAACAAGAAGGTAGCTCCAGTTCTTTGGATCACCATCAAGGAAACCTACCTTAAAAGGACTTAAATATAAGTTTAAAAATAGGAAGTGCTTGTGAGTTAACTCATGATAGTTTAGTGCTCATTTATGCACCTTTGAACAATTGTAAAGGCTACCAGGGAATAGCAGTCAAATTAGGCTTCATTTCTTGTAATATTCCAAGTTTTTTCGTTTTAGATTACACAGATTTAAAGACCGACAAGAAGCGTCAAGAACATCTGGCTTCACTGGTAGTAGTCCTGGGCAAGTATATTGGAGCAGAGAATCTTCCCAATGAAGTTGATCTCCAGGGCATCTTTGGTAGAGTATGTACTAATTATTATTATATTCATGGGGAACTTCTGAACCCATAGGGATCATACAGCATTTGAGGAATGGGAGGCAATGTATGAAACAGTAATAGATACTGACAGCAGGATGATAATGACACATTGTGCAGGTTATTATATTGTATTATATGTTTGATCCACCACATATCATTCACAAAAGCAATGTGTGTTGTGAATATTATGCAAGGTATTCAGAGCATAGAAATTAGAATACAGTAAAATTATAAAAAATATTCAGAGGGCAGAGGAAGGGTTGTTGAAGTAGTTTGGGCATTTAGAGAAGATGAAGCAGAACAGGATGACCAAGAGGGTGTATAAATCCTAGGTAAGAGGAGGAAGGGGTAAGGGTTAACTCATGGATGGTGGTAATGTTTGTGAAGGGATTCTGGGAAACTGGTTAGCTGGATTTGAGTTGTGAAGGTGCGGAGGGCAGTGCCTGCATTTTGAAGGAAGGGTGGGGATGCTGTAGTTCAGAGGGTCAATTGAATTTCGATGTAGCACACTTCTGGTAGGAAAGCAGTTGAGTGAATGATGGTGAATGTGTTTCTCTTTTGGATCACTTTGGATGGCCCATGAGGTAAAAAAAAATATCCTATTCAAATATGTGATGTAGATGTATAATGGAGTAGGAGAGGGTGGTAAATGTGTAACAGATATTCTGATTAATAGCCTTTTGTTCTTTTCAGATATGTGTTAATAGTTTCAGTATTACTGATCCCGACTTGAACACAGTTGGTACTGGGGTATACTTGGCTGCATCGGTATTTGATCACTCTTGTCGGCCCAATGCCTATGTTACTTTTGAGGGTACCCGCCTTATATGCCGTTCCCTGGTTGACATGCCAAATTTAGATTTTGCCAAGGTGAGTTTTCTAGAGAAGAACCTATTATTTTTGTAATTAAAGGCTCTGTTTAATTTTCCATATGCAGTATTATAAATCCAGTAGAGTTCCATTCATATAATACCTACTAAAATACAGGAGTCAAAGGTTTAAAAGATTTTCTTCCCCTTTGTCATCTTTAAAAAACTCTTCGATATTTTTTCATTAGCCCTTTTCTATTTCAGT